GTGGGCCCCCCCTCCCCCCCCCCCCACTCCCTCAGCAGTGCCACATATGACACATGGGCATGCCCACACTGTCGGGGCAGCATCCACTCACACAGACATTAGGGCCCCTGTAGGAATGGGCTTACTGGCCAGAGCACACATGGCCTTGCTCCAAGCACGTGGCCTTTGACTGAGCAGAGAACTGTCACTCTCGGCTCACAGATGAGTGCAAGACTCCAGGTACAGTGTTCCCTGGGATGACTTACTGTCTCTCTTTATTCTCCATAGCCTGACCAGCTGTGAGAGGGGGGCAGTCAACACCACCCGGGACAGTCTCCCGAACCCGAGGGACCCGCAGGTGCTGGAGACCCATGGATGACTTCTTGAGGGAGCACCTCAAGGCATTCCAATCCCTGGAGCAGACCATCAACTGCACACTCCAGGAAGACACCAAGCTGCAGTGAGACACCTGGTGGGAACTGCTGGAGCAGGGCCGCACCATCTGCAAGGCTCTGCACTCCCTCATTGCCAGCATGATGCCTACTCCTGCTTCTGCTCCCACTCCTCATCTCTCTGTAGCTCCTCCTCCCACTCCTCTGCCAATACTGCCCCATGGCCACGGTGGCACCTGTACCTGTGGTGGTGGAATTGCCACAGCCAGGTTCCACTCCCAGCCCCAGCCTTAAGCTTCTCCTCACCCATGCTACCACCTCCAGCTCCCTCTTCCCCACTGCAAGGTTCTCATCCCTCCTCTCTCCTCCCTTCTACCAGGTTCTTTCCTGTCTCTCCCCAGTTTCTTTGACCCCAAATAAAAAGAAACAGATTTTATTTTTTCCAAAACAAACTTTTTTTTAATTGTCTTAGCAGGGAAGGGGGGAGGGGCAGAAAGGAGGGGTGTTGGAGGAAAGGCAGAGGAGGCGATGCACAGGTCCCTAGAGAGGAGGCTTAGGGAGAATGTCACTCTGCCCCCTGTGAGAAACTCTCACTCAGGGCCTCCTAGATACCACGGCCCTCTGATGGGCCTACCAGATGGCAGCTGTTCAAAGGCCCTGCACTCACGTGGAGAAGCACTCACGTGGAGCCTGGAGTCAGCGGGACTTCCTGCTGGCCCCTGGCTGCATGCAAGTGCCAGCTTTGAAATGTACAAGAGTCCCCAGCAGTGGCTCTTGTGCATTTCAAAGTGGAAGCACCCTCATGGACTCCCCAGCTGACCCTGGGTTCCATGGAAATGCCGCAGGGAGCTAGGGGTCTCCAGCTGACTCCGGGCTCCATGAGGCACTGCTGCTTTGAAGTACCCTCTCTTCCCTCCCACTTTGCTGCCTCTATCTGGAAGGGGATCGATTAGTCGATGCATTTGCACAGGTCTAAACCACTACTCCATGGCTGTGGAGAATCACGTCCAGTGTTTGTAGTCAAATTTATTGGGGACATTTGGATGTATGGGGATAGGTGGGGAAGGGGAGGTCTCAGACACAAAACAAGAAGGTAATTAATAAGTACAGGGAGGTTTCATGATTGTCCTTTCTAGGGTTGTTTCTACGGCATTTTGTGATTT